TGTCCAAGCGACTCCTGGTTAAGCTGCGCGGGCTATCGGATGGGACGACGGCGACTTGCAGGAGGTCGCGCTGCTCAACAGGATCGTCAAACTCACCGAGACGGAGAACGGCGTTCCGTGCTTGCAGTGGGAGGCTGATGCCCGCCATGTCGAGATCGTCCTGTCGCAGCTGAAGCTCGGGCTGGACGAGGGCAGCAAGTCGGTCACGTCGCCGGGCATCAAGAGGGCGGCGGAGGAGCTGACGGAGTCTCCCCCGCTGGGAGCTGATGATGCTGCGCTGTTCTGGAGCGTGTGCGTGAGGATCAACTACTTGGCGATGGACAGGATCGACTTGCTCTTTGCAGCGAAGGAGGCGGCAATGTGGATGAGCAAGCCGACCCAGGTGGCCATGGAGATGGTGAAGCGCATCGGGCGCTACCTGCTGCGCAGGCCGAGGGTCGTGCAGCGGTTCGTCCAGCAGATCGAGCCGGACGTCCTGACGGTGGCGTGCGACTCGGACCACGCGGGCTGCGTGCTGACAAGGAAGAGCACGTCAGGGATCGCGCTGTACCACGGCGCGCACCTGCTGAAGGCGATGGCCAACACCCAGGCGGTGGTGGCCCTATCGAGCGGAGAGTCGGAGTTCGACGCGATCGTGCGCGGCGCGAGCGTCAGGCTTGGAGCGCAGAGCATGTAGAGGGATTTCGGCATGGTCAAGGACCTGGTTGTCGAGACGGACGCGACGGCCAGGCGCGGGATGGCGCTCGGGCTCGGCGCGGGCAAGGTCAGGCACCTGCACGCCCAGTGCTTGTGGGTGCAGGCCATCTACCACGAGAAGAGGGCGAGGCTGGTCAAGGTACACGGCGAGCAGAACACAGCCGACCTGATGACGAAGCACCTCGCCGGAGACAAGATCGCCCACTTCCTGGATCGGCGCGGGTGCACGGTCCTGGACGGGAGGAGCAAGCCGTCGCTGAGGGCGGCGGTGTGAGCACGGCTTGAGTCGATGGGGCTCGGCCACCAGATCAAGTAAGGAGAAGGAGTGAGCGGGCTGGAATGCTTGCTGTCGGCGGCGGCGCACGCTGGCGCCTGGCCGAGGAGGAGTGTAGCAGTGCATTCTTCAGAACAGGATTCCAGGGATGGTTCGCATCCGTTGTCGTGTTGGTGCAAAATGCCATCTTCAGTTCAAAATGTCTACGTTAGTGTTCTTCGTGCACCACTTGCACTGGGCGACGCGTAACTCCCTGTCGTGATGCCGTGCGCCGGCTACGAGGTGGCGTTCCAACTTCTCTCCTGCTTCGGCCGCTCCGCCATTCGCTGCCTTGGGCTCGTCGCAGTTGCTGCAGCGCTGGCGCACCCCCTTGCCTCTGCCTCCCCCCCCGCTGGCGCCCTGGTCCCCCGGTCGCCGGTCACTCCCGCTCTTCGACCTTGCCAGGCCTGATCGCACTGTGAGAAGTGGCCCCCGTCCCGGGGTGCACTGCGACGCCGACCCGCAGCCGCTGCCAGGGTTGTCCCCGCAACCAGGCCGCGCCCGCGCACCCGCTGCAGCCTCGCTGCGTGGAAGCGCCCCTGCGCCTTCCCCCCACTGCGGCCGCCTGCTCTCCTTCGCCCTCCTTCTTGCATGCGAGCTAATTCGTTCGGGCGCGCGGGCGGATTGCCTCTGCCGCGCGGCGACGTAAAAATGTTGGATGTTCTGGTGCATCCTGGGGGAAGGTGCCCTCGGACGTTCTGTTAGTTGTGGTCGGCGGGGGGCGTCATGTTTTTGGAGGATGCTCTTCTGGCCTAGATCCGACTGTACAGCCACCCGCTCGCTACGCCGAGTGAGATTCTGCTCATGAGTTTGCAGCCGCTCGGTCTAGGTCTCGCTGTGGAGACGTCACTTCGGCCGCTGCAGGACAACGTGCCGCTGCGGGCGTCGTCGTCGTCGTCGTCGTCGTCGTCGTCGTCGTCGTCGTGCCACTGCCCCGTAACAGACGGGACCCTGATGCCAGGTTCGTTGTTCCAAGATGGCCTCCAGGACGCTCCAGACGGTCCACGAGGCCACCACGACGTCCCAAGAGGGCTCCAAGAGGAACTCAATGAGGCCACGAAATCATTGACCCTTGGGTTGTTGAGCGATTGTATTTTTACCGTTTTTTCACGCTTCCGACCCTCCAACTCGGCTCCAGATGCCTCCACAATCATTCCAAGGCGGCCCAAGGCCCCCAGGAGGCCCGCAAGACGGGCCAAGGAGGGCCCCCCACACTGCCCGAAATACCAGAGAAACAGCGGGGGTCATGGATTACCTCGCTTGGAGTCTTGCCTCCGACGGTAAATGGTTGACATTCGCGTTTTTGTTGCCATTGTCCCTGCGACCCTCTCTTGTCCCCTTCGCGACATCACCATCATCAGTAAACGTCTCTTACCGCCAAAACTGATAGTAAGCATGCGCGTCTTTCCGAGGTTTCCCTTGCATCCTTTCCCTTCGGCTCATCCCTGGTCATTTTCGTTTGCCGCGCCCCGCTCGTCAAGTGTCGGCATGGCCGTCCAAGGCCCTTGCATCCTTATCGTGCGTCCGTACTATCAGTTTTCATCGTGTCCAGTGGAGTCGCGGCTTTATTTGTCTCAGCCGCTGGATTGGGAAGGCCTTGCGGCCGGTGCCGCCGACCCCGAAGGGGGACGACGACGACGACGACGACGACGACGACGACGACGACAACGACGACGACAACGACGACGACGACGACGACGACGACGACGACGACGACGACGACGACGACGACGACGACGACGATCACGACGACGACGACGACGGCGGCGACGACGACGACGACGACGACGACGACGGCGGCGGCGGCAGTGGCGGCGGCGGCGGCGGTGGCGGCGGCGGCGTGGGGCAGAGTCTTCAGGGATGCTTCGTGGGGCCTCGTCGGAGCGCTCTCGTAGGCCTCTTGGGGGGGTGGGGCAGTTGTGGGGCCTCTCGGGGGCACCTTGGCCTCCTCGCTCGCTGGCCTCCGCCGCTGGATCTCCCGGCGGCCGCCTTTGCGGCTCTTCGCCCGTGCGGCGCCGCCGGTCCTCTTGCGGGGGCGCCCCCGGGGCTTCCCGCGAGGGCGCCCGGCCACAGGCCGGAGAAGCCACGGCCACGATGGCGGGAATCAGCGGATGCAAAGGTACTCCAGATTCCGTAATAAAGGGAGGGGGGTCTCATTTCGGGGGGGGGTCTCTTCCAGGCTATCTTGGAGGGCCTGGGGGGTCTGGGGACGATGTTTTGGAGGGTTCTCCCACGGGGGAGGTCTGAAATGGCTTGTCTTGGAGGGTCCAGACCCCCTCCCTTTTATTACAGAATCTGGAGTACCCATACCGCTGCCCTTTGGGCGTTTTCCCCTTTTTCGGCCTCCTGGGAGGCCCTCGTCGCCACCGCTGGATTCGCCTCGAGATCCTGGTCAGAAGGCAGCCCAGGAGAGGTCCGGGGAGTAGTGGTATCGGTGCCTGTTGGTTTCCCCAGATGCTCTCCAAGACCCCCCAGGTTTTCCTGATGTCCCGCGCGGACTCCAGAGGCGAGGGCTGCCAGCTGCCAGAACCGCGGTCTCCCTGAGCGTCCGGGTCACGATTTTGAACGATTCGGGAGGAGTCTTGGGGCCATCTTGGGCCGTCATGGGGCTCTCTTCGGGTCATCTTGGGGTCCTGTTGGGCCGTCTTGGGGCTCCTCTTGGACTGCCTGGAAGCCCTCTTGGTTAAATGTTGGGCGATGCCCTGGCCTCCTGGGCAGTCTCGGGCGCCCAGAAGACAGAAGAATTGAGCATTCCCAGAATCATGCAAAAACCGAAGGAAATCTTTTTTTTTGTTTTGCGTTTCGAATGCCAATTCGGGGTCTTCTTTGGGTCGTCTTTGGTTGGGGGTCTGGTAAGTGTTTGGGGCCTCTGTGGACTCTCGCGGGGCCGTCCGGTCGCCCTGACAGATTCGGGCCTGCTGCTTGGGCCCAGCAGGAGCTTCAGGAGCCCCAGCAAGCACAGGGGACTGTCTGCAAGGGCGCCCAGGGCCCCCCCAGGGCCATGGATCTGGGGGGCTCCGTTTGGGGGGGCAGGATCCCAGGTTAAAACATAGAATAGAGGATGGATCGTTGTCTTGTCGTTCTGTTCGGGCTCACTCTTTTTTTGTGTCCTTCTCTCTCTCCCTCTCTCTCTCTCTCTCTCTCTTTTTCTCCATCATTCTCTCTCACTATCCCTGTATATTTCCCTTTTGTGTATCTCCCTCTCTCGCACTGTCGTCTTGTCTGTCTGTCTGTTTCTGTGTCTGTCTGTGGGCCTGCGTCCGTTTGTTTTCGTTTTTGTTTCTTGTCTACCTGTCTCTGTCTCTGTCGGTCCCTCGCTCACTCTCTCTCTCTCTCTCTTCCTTACCGTCGGCCTGTCTGTTTGTTTTGTTGTGCTCTGCCAGTGTTTGAATTTTTGGTTACCGATGTGTCTGTGTGTGTTTTATTGCTTTATGCCTGTCTGTCTCTCTCTCGCTCTCTGTCTCTCTTTCTTTCTTTCTTTCTTTATCTCCCTCCTTTCTGTTAGTTTGCCAGTACGGCGGAAAGCAGTTTTGTATCTCTGGCCAATTATCTCTGTCAATCCCTCTCCCTCTCTTTCTCCCCCTCGTCTTTCGTTTTCTGATTATCTGTACCTCGCTCTTTCTTTCCCCTCTGTCTATGTTGTGCCTCTTCCTCTCTCTGTACATGTCTGTTGCGGTTCCTCTCGCTTTCTCAATTCATGTGTGGGTACCACTAGCCCTGTACATATGTATGTTTTTATTCTCATCTCTATATATATATATATATGTATAGAGACATGTATGCACGTATGGGTAGGTGTAGCTGTAGACGTGCACGCGTGTGTGTATGTATGGAGGTATGCAGGTAAGTGGTGGACATGCACTTTGATGACTGCATGCTCGTCTCCTTTCCCTCGGTTGTGCTCATCCTGTCGTCCGCCGCCCGCCGTCGCCGCCGCCACAGCTCTCCACCGTTCTGGCCCGCGCCTCCCCCCCGCCCCGGCGGCGCCGAGGGCGCGCGGAGGGGGGGCGACTGCCCGGACGAGGAGCTCGGGCTGCAGGACCCTCCCCCTTCCGCTGCGGGCGCAGGGGGGGGGGAGGGGGCCCTCTCGAGCCAGGATAGGGGGCCACGTGCGAACCCTACCCCTGCCCCCCACGATTTCTGAGGGTGGGGGTGGGGTTCACTTCGCTCAGGGGCTCCCGAGCGAAGTGAAGCCCACCCTCCCCTTCAGAGATCGTGGGGGGTAGGGGTAGGGTTCGCAGGTGGCCCCCTACAGGAAGGGACGTGCTCTCTGGGAGGTCTCTTTGGGCCCTCTCGGGCCTCTCTTGGGCCGCGGGCGCAGTGGGGGGAGGAGGCCCCTCGAGCCGGGGCAAGACCTGAGGCCGGGCGGCTCTGCACCGAATTCGGCCTCTGGGGGCCCTCGCGGTGCCCCAGGACTGTCGAAAACGACGCAGGCGGCTGCGCTGGTCGGCGGTCAGCCCCAGCGGGGGTGGGGCGGCAAGCTGGGTGCGGTCGCGCCGTATCCGACGTCCTGCCCTCCCTCCCGTCCCTCCCCATTGCGTTTTTTTTTTTTTTTTTTTTTTTTTTTTTTTTTTTTTTTTTTTTTTTTTTTTTTTTTTTTTTTTTTTTTTTTTTTGTTTTTATAAATATATATATATATATATATTTGTTTTCTCTCTCTCTCTCTCTCCCTCTCTCTCTCTCTCTGCGGACGCGTGTCGTAGCCGACCTGGCACTCCCACAGAAAACGCTCATCGTGTTATGCGCAATCGGAAAAGGGACATTGCATACATGGGGGAGGAGGGGGAGGAGGAGGAGGAGGAGGAGGAGGAGGAGGAAGAGGAGGAGGCGGAGGAGAAGGAGGAGGAGGAGGAGGAGGAGGAGGAGGAGGAGGAGGAGGAGGACAGGGAGGATGATGAAGGAGGAGGACGAGGACGAACAGCAGCAGCAGCAGCAGGAACTGGAGTGGAAGGAATGGGAGGAGCACGAGGACCAGGGGAAGGCGGAGGAAGAGAAATGAGGGGGGCGACAATGATGAAAATGGACTCGTATCCAGAAAAGCGGCCCGCGCTGGAGCGAGATCGCCATTCTGAGCGGGAGCACTTTTTCGAAACACCGACAACAACCGGATTGTACATCCAGAAGAAAACGACAATTTTTTAAACTCTGTGTGTGTGTGTGTGTGAAAACAATAGGTGGAGAGGACCCGACATCTTCCTGGCATAATCAGGAGAGAGGAGAGTATTCTCAATAATGTGTCGTTTTGGAACGGAGGGGGCGGAGGGAAAGGGAGAAAGGTTGGGAGGAGGGAGAGGGCAAAGGGCTGAGGAAGGAGGGAGAGGAGGGAAGGTGAGGAGGTAGGGAGGGAGGGAGGGAGGGAGAAAGTTAAGAGGAGGGAGAAAGGCGGGAGGGAGGAGGGGAGGAGGGCGGGAGGGGCTGAGCTGCCCCTCCCCCGATGCGCTTCAGTGCCCCCGCCGCCTCCGCCGCCGCTGGTGGGGGCGGTCGGGGCGCTCCTCGCGGGCGGCGGGCACGTGGCGGGGCGCCGCGGGATGCCACGACGCGCCCGGCTGCGGACGCCACCCGGGAGGGCCGTCTCAGGACGGCGACGAGGACGAAGACGAGGACGAGGGCGAGGGCGAGGGCGAGGGCGAGGGCGAGGGCGAGGACGACGACGAAGACGACGACGACGACGACGACGACGGCGGCGGCGCCACCGGGTGGGGCCGTGACTTTAAGGGTAGCTCTTTGGGAGATGTTACAGTATCGGGAGCATAGCTCGCGCGCCGCTGCCTTGGCTCAAGGCACGCGCGCCCTATTTGCCCGGACACCGCGAGTGTTCGCTATGTGCTGGAAAGATCATTACATCGATCTTATCCTATCTTACCCATCCACCCCTCATTCTGTACCTTCACAGCAGAGCGATGGATGCAATTTGCCAGGCAATATGCCCTATTTGAGTTACCAGGCTCACTTTCGACTTGGTAGCGGAGCTGGCCGCACTCTCGTGTGGTCAGCTCTTGCTCTTCTCAGCCTCACATTCTTCGGCACGATCTTCGTGACCACCTACTACCCTGCGCCACCACTCCCAGTACATTTACGAGGATCTATTCAAGAGCAAGAAGCTACACGAGAGGTACGACGTCTAGACGACCAATTGGTACCATATACGCTTCATCATTGCGTTACTATCAACCGCTCGGCAACGAGCCAATAACGCAATACCTGAAGCAAGGGCGGGGAAACCCGCCAGACAGAGCGCCTCGAAGACTCGACAAGGCGCTACCCCAGCGCGACACCGCTTATCATAACCGTCCTTCGTTACACATTCTCGGGCTAATCGTTTTCGCTATCATATGGTTCGCGCTGGGGGCAGCAATCGCACACATGCGTCGGGGAGATAACAGCACCGATGGGCAAACACATGGCCCATATTGGGACCCTCAGGGTAATGTACCTTTTCGTGAGTACATTTACGAGGTCAACGCGTGGCTCAACGCTACAAGCGGACGTATGACGCCACAGGCCCAGGCGGCCGCAATACAACGCGGCCTGGGAGGCCTAGCGAGGACACTCGCCATGAGGGTACCGCCTGACATCATAAACTATGGTGCTGATATCGACGGGGTCCACACAGACCCAGTAACTTATATCATGTTTCTCCTCAGCATGAAGTTCGAACGCCTGGAAGATGAGCGACTGCTCACTTCCGGCACACAACTCATCGACTTCCATGTGCCTCACGGGGAACGAATCGATGTCACTCTTACCCGATTCGAAATGGCCCGACTTGAGGCACAGTCGGTGGGATTCGACCTTCCTAACTTCCAACTGCTAACCACTATCCGATTCCGCGCCTTAGGCGTCGGCAACCAGAAAGCCATGCAACTCTTACAGCCACTCAACCACCAAATGCCTCGAACACAACAACAATATGATGAGTTGCTGGAAAGGATGCGTTCGGTAGGTCACCTATCCGAACGATCCCCTGGCAACATAGGATCCGTGTTTGGAAGAGGAAGGGGATCTGGTAGTGGAAATTTCTACACTACCTTGACTACTGAAGCCCAGCCTGGAAACAGGCCCTCAAACATATGGGCCGATGACCCAGGAGAATCCACTGCTTTATTAGCAGGGGATCGATCACAACCAAGCTGGGCAACCAGCCCTCCTTCTAGAGAACCACAACCACACCGCTCGTTATGGGGGGAATCAAATCCCCTAACCGACGGTGTATCCACCTATTTAGGAGACGAAGATTTCGACTCCGGCACCGATACAGACACTATATCATCAGATGGTGTTGAAGCTCTAGATTGGTCAGATATCATGAATATGGATAACGACAATCAGCGTGCTGAGCATTTATTCTGGCTGTTACAACAGGCTAAACGAAGGTGGAGGAGGTTCACACGAAAACCAGTGCGTCGTGTTAGAAGGAGGATACGCAGAAGTTTTAAAGGAAAGGGTAAAGGCAAGCGTGGTCGTCGGAGGTTGAACGGGCGAGGTATCGCGGCATTTCTCCAGAGGCTCTCAGATGAACAACATGATGAGATATTCTTTGGGGAAAAGGCCGCGGTGAAGGCCGTAGAGAGACCTCAGGTAAAGGTAAAGGTAGGCGGGGAAACCCGCGAGGTAGAGACGGCCAGGTTCTCAAATGTCATGAGTGTGGTAGTGCCGATCATCTTGTGCGAGATTGTCCAGCGAAGGGAAATGGAAAGGGCATGTCGTCCGAAGTCCATTTCGGCTCAAGTACACCATCCATTGAGTATCTGAGCCTCCAGGACTTTGAGGCTATGGAACAGATATTTTGCACATGGGTCGTTGGCATGGACAACATTGACGAGCTCGAGGGGTATGGACATGGATTATACGCGTATGACCTCGAGTACGTCCGCCGGTTCGTCACGGGCAGTAATGAACTCACTCCCGTGGAACACGGTACGCTCGGAAACGAGCCTCTTTCCTTCTTCGACTGGATGTTCGGGAATCCAGGCAACATCATGGCCTGCGAGAGCGACGACGAGGACACCACTATAGAGGCTTCGCCTTCCGAAGTTCAACGGGACCTCGAACCTCCGCCCGAAATCCCGCCTGGAAACAGGCCTTCTTTGATGGGGGAATATCCCCAGACCACTGAAGACTTAATTGAAATGGAGTCTCAGGCATTTGTTCAGGCCTTCATTGCAGGCGAACCAGATATTCCGTTCATACCTCCTGGTTCGCTTGCTCCAGGCGAATATGGACCACGTACCCTTTTGCAGACCTTCATGAGGATGCATGAGATACTTACAATTGGTTATCCTGAGAGTCAAGAACACATCGAAGCTGGCATCATGACAGAACAGGATAATGATGCTTGCGGTAGCTCAGAGCTACTCTTGGCAGCTTTGACTCTCATTGACAGTATAAATCCTCAGGAAGTGCAGCGACACTTGATATACTCCCATGGTAGATGGCGTCGTGCCCTGGAAATGGCAATGGCTATGCGTGGTCATGATCTTCCCCCGCCAGGATGGAATCTCCAGGAGCTGGGGATGAGGCCAAACCATACGGCCATGCGTAACATTGCTAGGCAGCCTATGCTCGTCGATGACCCTGAGCCGACGACTGTGCCTCCTACTCCAGGACAGCCGAGCGACGCCCAGACGCCGGCCATGCAGGGAAACCTGCCTTTATAACAGATGCGCCAATGGCCATCATAATTGGTAGTTCGACATCAGAAGAAGTAGAAGGGGATGGTTGTGGGTTAGATGAGGATGACGTCACCATCCTCATGATGGGCGTGACTGGTGAGGAAGAGGTCAATTTCGACCCTGATGAGTCTGAATCATCATCACCATCGGCACAAGAGCCACTTGCGCCGAGCTCCACCCAGCAGGGAGACCTGCCTCCATCGAGCGATCCACCTGGGATCGCAGAGGAGCCTCCTCAAGCACCTCCAACGGGTGCCGCTCCTGCTGCATCGGCAGCTTCTTCTGATGAGAACACCAGGAAATCTCGTTCCCATACGCGCGTCAGAGAAGAGCCACATCCCCAGGCTCGACTTCCCCGTGAGTGGAG